TCGGCTGCTTTGTCCCGGGTGGAGGGTCCTGAGGCCCGGCTTTGCCCTGGGGACTCTCCCTGCCTGCCTCCCTTTTGTGGGAGGTTATTAACTTTCGTGCAATGGATGTGGGAGTGGCCGTGGCCAAAGAAAGAGACACTGCTAAATAGATATCCTGGTACATTGATTAAGTAGGAACTGTGGCCAGTCATTTTGCTTCTAGTCACTTTTTGTCCCGGGTGGAGGGTCCTGAGGCCCGGCTTTGCCCTGGGGACTCTCCCTGCCTGCCTCCCTTTTGTGGGAGGTTATTAACTTTCGTGCAATGGATGTGGGAGTGGCCGTGGCCAAAGAAAGAGACACTGCTAAATAGATATCCTGGTACATTGATTAAGTAGGAACTGTGGCCAGTCATTTTGCTTCTAGTCACTTGCAGGCCTATCAAATTCATGGTCATGGAAAATGACTCACAGACCATGATATGTGGTCTCCTCTTGTGAAATCTGGTCTTTCGTGTATTTCTTTCCTATATAGTACAGATTTCAGTGGGGGAGACCAGCATTTGTCATCTGTGGGGGAAATAACCCAAAAGGGAGTTGTGGGGCATCATAAGGTTATTTTAGGGGAGTTGCACTATTGCCACCCTTCTGTGTTGCCTTCAGAGCAGGTTGTCTGGGGAGCGGTGTCAGCTGGGTGCCCATCTCTGAAGGTGGTGCCCTGCCAGCAGCAGCGCAGAAAGAGGGGTGGCAATACTATACTATGCCACTCTTACTTCTGTGTTGCTGCCTGTGTTGCTGCCCTCAAAGCTAAGCTCCCAGCGCTGCTCTCAAGATGCCCAGATCTCAAGGCACAGCTACCACCTGCAGCAGCGCAGAAGTACCACTATCCTCCACTACTACTTTTTGTATCAGAACCCCTACAGCTACAATACTGTGAAATTTCAGATTTCATAAATCATGACATTTATGATTTTTAAAATCCTGTAACCATGATATTGACAGAGGGGACCATGTATTTGTTAGGCCCCATTCTTCCTCTGGGTCTGAGTTTTTGTTCATCTTGCTTTTTTGTCGGATTTTACATTTCATTGAACTGAACTATCAGTGATCCTTTAATTTCTGTCTCTCTCATTGCTAGTTTTATTTTCTATTATTTTTTGTTATGATGATGGAAATACAGATAGATGTTTTTACATCAACTTTTAATCTTTTTTCAGAATCAAGACAGGATGTCATCATCTGTGCATGTGCAGAATAACAATATTCTTCTGTCATAGTTGTATGTTCAACAAAAGCTGTCTTTTCCTGATGTTGCTGAGGTAAGTCAGTTCGTACTAATTGGATATAAAAATGGGAGTATCAGGTAGGAGAGTTTCCTATAAAAGAGAGTTATTTATGTTATTTTAAACTGACTAGACCCTAGCTTCAAATCAGACTGTAGACAGTAGGAAGAAGGGCTGCATTTGGGGTTTGATTTTTTTCAAAAGGTAAGAAGAAGTAATCCTGTGCCCAATTCCCCTTGAAAATCAGTGGGACCCTAGGCATTTTTGAAGAGTACTCTTTTTGTTTAGTAATGAACTCCAACTAATAAAGGACATATATAGGATAATTCATGAATGGAAGTTGCTTAATCACATCTCAAGCCACTGGGAAATAAATTCAGAGCAATTTATGAACATATATAAATGCACCACGACATGTTTATTAAAAGCAGCTACCGTATTTTCTTAAAAGAGGATTTGTGCAAGTTTGGCATAGGTAGAAGGGATCCCATATGCTAATTAAAGACTGCCTCTAAAAATTACCTATAGAAAAATTTGATTAATTCTAGTTTGTGCGTTTCTAGCTATGAACTTGGATACGTTAATACTAACCATTCCAAGATGCTGCTTAGAAAGGATTGAACTAATTTCAGTCACATTTATGTGCTTAGTTGTGCAATGTGTGAATATAGCTAAAATATTCTTATAGTGTATTAAGAACGTGTAAAAATTCAACATACTGGAATTTGATGCATTAAGCTCTATATATTTTATAGGAGTTACTTAAAAGGTTTATAAACAAGGTTTATATACAAGTAAATTTGCAAGTATTAAATTTATAGGTCCAATGGAGGAATTCACTCTTACAGAAATTGGGGCAACTATAAATTAATATTTAGTTAGCAGATTTATTAAATGCTTTTTTTATTTTAATTTTGTTATTGCTTTGCTATACAAATATATAATTGTATAGAAAAAATTTATTCCTCCTGTATCTAAGTATCCTTCATAACCTGTACCATCAGTCAAAGAAGCAATGAGTTTACCATTGTTATTATTGTTCATTATTTATTTTAACATTTCTGACTGGAATTATCATAGATTCATTGAGTGTAAGGCCAGAAGGGACCATTTTGGACACCTTATGTGACATCATGCATTACACAGGCTGGAGGACTTCCCAGAATTAATTTGCTGTTTGAAGTAGAGCAGATTTTTTAGAAAAACAGCCCATATCATACAGATTAAAATATTAGCTATGATGGAGAACATAAGAACATAAGAATGGCCTGCCCAGGGCCGCAAGAGATGGGCGCCCGCCTGGTCTAGTGCGGAGATCATAGACCTCATTGAGGTTTGGGGGGAGGCCTCCAAAATCCACGATCTCCGCACTAGGCACAGGAAAGCGTCCGTTTAGGGCAGGATAGCTGCCAGCCTGGCCACCAAAGACCACATGCGAACCCAGGAGCAAGTTTGCATGAAAATCAAGTTGGTCCAGTGAGACCCCCGACTCTGAGCCCTGAGCTTAGAACATAAGAACCTAAGAATGGCTGTACTGGGTCAGACCAAAGGTCCATCTAGCCCAGTAGCCTGTCTGCCGACAGCAACCACCACCAGGTATCCCAGAGGGGATGGACCAAAGACAATGACCAAGCGATTTGTCTCGTGCCATCCATCTCCAGCCTTCCACAAACAGAGGCCAGGGACACCATTCCTATCCCTCTCTATTATAGTTCAAGCCTTCACAGCCTCCTGTGGCAAGGAGTTCCACAGGTTGACTATGCGCTGTGTGAAGAAGAGCTTTATTTTATTAGTTTTAAGCCTGCTACCCATTCACTTCATTTGGTGTCCTCTAGTCCTTCTATTATGGGAACTAATAAATAACTTTTCTTTATTCACCCTCTCCATACCACTCATGATTTTATATACCTCTATCATATCCCCCCTCAGACTCCTCTTTTCTAAATTGAAAAGTCCCAGTCGCTTTTCCTCTCTTCATATGGGACCCATTTCAAACCCCTAATCATTTTAATTGACCTTTTCTGAACCCTTTCCAAGGCCAAAATATCTTTTTTGAGGTGAGAAGACCACATCTGTACGCAGTATTCAAGATGTGGGCCTACCATAGTTTTATACAGGGGCAGTAAGATATTCTGTGTCTTATTTTCTATCCCTTTCTTAATAATTCCTAACATCCTATTTTCCACACAGTGTGCAGCGACGGTCAAAAAGGCAGTTTTCAGAGAGCTATCCACGATAACTCCAAGATCTCTTTCCTGATTTGTCGTAGCCAAATTAGCCCCCATCATACTGTACGCATAGTTGGGGTTATTTTTTCCAACGTGCATTACTTTACACTTACCACATTAAATTTCATTTGCCATTTTGTTGCCCAGTCACTCAGTTTGGTGAGATCTTTTTGAAGTTCTTCACCATCAGCTTCTGTCTTGACTATCTTAAACAGTTTAGTATCATCCGCAAACTTTACCACCTTACTGCTTACCCCTTTCTCCAGATCATTTATGAACAAGTTGAACAGGATTGGTCCCAGGACTGACCCTTGGAGGACACCACTAGTTACCTCTCTCCTTTCTGAAAATTTACCATTTATTCCTACCCTTTGTTTCCTGTCTTTTAACCAGGTCTCAGTCCATGAAAGGACCTTTTAAACGTCCGCTAGTGCGGACTCCGTGCCGCTAGTCCGAACTACCATTACTCCTCGTTTCGGAACTACCTAGTCCGCGCGGCACAGAGTCCACACTAGCGGACATTTAAAAATGGCGGCGCCCGGCTTTTTGCAAATGAAGCCCAGGAAATTCAAATTCCGGGCTTCATTTGCAACTCCGGTTGCCTACGTTACCACCCTAGTTTGAACTAGGGTGGTAGTGTAGACATACTCTAGGAGAATAGTCTGTAGAGACAGAGATTATTGGGGAGAAAATTTGTACCATCTTTTAATTCCATTCTGTTTCCCAGATTAAAAGGGAAGATGGAAATTTGAATTAATCTTCAGAACTAACTCTGGTTCCATATTCTGGTTTATTCTCTTGTGATAGAGAATCTTTTTATTCAATTTTGGTTGTTATAGGTAGAAAATATATCTTGAAATAGACTAAAAACGTTTTCTAAGTTTTCAGCATACATGGAGGAGGACCCTAGAAAGCAGAACTGGAGTTCGTGTATGAAAGTTATGGATAAACATCAGACTGAACTGAACAAACTGTCACCCCAACTTAAAAGCAGATCACAGAAAAACTTCCTACAACAAAACCTGTGTGAAAGTGAAATGAGACGGTATGCTTCGGACAGGGAAAATACAATTACAGAATTTCATGAGACTAACAGTCTTCCTGTTCTTACCGCATTTATTTGTGCTTCTTTAGCTGTTCAATTCCATGCAGTGTGTTATAAATATAAATATCTTTGGTGGGAGCAATACATGCCTGGACAGAGGATTTGCTGAAGGCTTTGTCTTTAGATAGCATAGGCCAGGGCGGGCAATAATTTTTGATGCGGGGTCACTCCTAAAATTTGGTAAGTGGTCAAGGGCCACATTTTTCCATAATATTAATGTAGGAGGTGCGGGATCTAGGATGGAGGTTGGGTGCAGAAGCAAGCTTTGGGATAAGGGATTGGGATGAAGGAGAAGGTGTGGAATCTGAGAGGGAGTTTGGGTAAAGAAGGGAGTTGTAACCTGAAGAAGGAGAATGGTGTGCAGGAGGGAGCACAGGGGTTAGGGTTGTGACATTGGGTGGGAGGGGGTTGTGACCAGAACAAGGGATTGGGGTACAAGTTCTAGGGGAATGTGGGAAGGGGAGGAGGTAGAGGATTTGGGTTATGTAGGCTAAGGGGACAAGAGGGGCAGAAGGTCTGGGGGAGGGAGGAGCTGGGAGGCCTGGGCTCATTGGTTCATGTGAATGACTACATGTAGCTCCACCCTGCACTGCTGCCTCTGATACAGAGGCAGCAGTGTGAGTTACGGGCAGGCAGGAGTTGGTATTTGCAGAGAGCCAGCTTAAAAGCCGTCTCCCTGTGTACCGGCTCCTGGGGTGCTGCTTCCCCTCCCCCGTGTGTAACCACTGAAATTTTCATTGGTTGTATGTTTACTTGAATATACGCATTTTAACATCCCTAGGCAGGCTCCCTGCCTTGCTTGCCCCATACTGTCCTGTTTGCCTTTGAATAGCTGCAAGCCCAATGGGAGGTGGGGAGAAGGGTACTTCATATGCTATCTGTTCTTCAAACAGATGGCTCCCACTGGCTGGAAACTGGCCAATGGGAGCTGTAATATTTTTCTGGCATGGGGCAGCGTACAAAGCCTCTTCCCCTCTCTCTTCCCGAGGCTCGCAGACAAACAGGGCCATACAGCCAGCTGCTTTGAGTGTGTGTGGGAGCGGGGCAGGCAGGAAACCTACCTGAGGCTATCACTGTGCCAGTGGGCTCTATGGATCGTATTTTGCCCAGCCCTGGCATTGTGGCTTCTGTAGGTCATCTGAACAGAGATTAAGTTCACCCTGTAATAAGGAATTTTTTGAAAGTTCCATCCTGTTTGTGTTTTAACCCCAACATTGCTGTATTGTGCTAGTTCATGAGATCATGCAAGTGAAATTGGTTAGACTGTTTTCATTCCCCTTGGTTGAGTGAAATCCAAAAAGCAAACAGCTTAACAGATAAAAAATACATTTGATTTTCAACCGTTCATTTATATTCTGAACACAGTGCAGGTCATCTAAGGCATTATTAGTAATACTTAAATTTTGCTGTAAAGGTTTTTTTCTTTACATAAGGTAAATCCTAAAATTCTTACTTCCTCTGGCTTTAGATGACAGAATGAAGCAGGAAGAAAGTATTTCCATAATTATTCAATGCATATAATTTCTTATATGCAGATGAAAACGAATTAGTTAGCCTTCATATTAAGTGAACACTTCAGACCAAGATCTGAGGTTTTTACTCAGACAAAACTCTTGTTGATGTCTAGAATATTAAGTCAAGTTTCATAGTACAGATTGAACCTCTTTAAACTGGGACTCTCTGGTCCAGAGACACCATAGATTTTCCAAGACCAGAAAGTCCCACGGCAGCAAAATCCCTCATCTGGGACCAGTCAGGTCCTAACAGTGCTGCATAAGGGAGGTCCAACCTATATAGATTTGAGAAAATTCTGCCTTTGGTTAATAAGTATGCGTGAAGTGGGAAAGTTTATGTTTTTTACACGCACACGCACACACACACACAAAGAATATGTATAGTCAGTGCAATTTGATTTCTATTAAGTTCCTCTTGTGAATAGGTTGAAAGAAGATGCCCTTAATGAAAATGTCACGTTCCAGGAAAAACTTCTTGAAGCACAGATGGCAGTCAATTCAACAGAAATGTTTTTGCCTTTGTTTAAAGTCACTATTGCTGCGATGACAAATGTAAGTTTCTCTGTTTTGCTGTATTTTAATACTATACCAAAATTTGTGTACATATTTACCATCAGAATTCTTAAGTGTGTTAGTGTGCTAGGACATTCTGTACATACATTTTTTTATTGGCTTCTCATTTCTGCCAAATTAAACGTTTATAATAAAAATCCTTACTGTTTAACTGATATGGTTGATTAGAAAAATACTCTAAATGTTGACTGACACAGTGACATCTGAGTCTGTAGTTATATATCTTCAAATATGAGCTTTGAGAGATCTGAATGTTTATTTTATCTCAAATGTTAATTCTGCATCTATATCTATATATAGCTCTCTCTCTCTCTCTCTCTCTCTCTCTCTCTCTCTCTCTCTCTCTCTCTCTCTCTCTCTCTCTCTCTCTCTCTCTCTATAT